CAAGCGGAATACGATGAGAGTGCTCTTGCACCGACTTTTTCACCCAAGCACCGAACAGGACAGTGGGTAATGGCCACAACAATGTTTTGTCCTGGTAGCTTGATCGTTATCTTGAGTTATAAAACCCAGCTGAGGGAAAAACTCAAGCTACCTTGAGGCTTATTCAACTCAGGAAGATGAATGAAGCTACTCACGTGAAATATTGGTCGAATGGCGTCTTCATCTCCTTGAACACCATCGCAATACAAGATCCGTTGAAAGCGATTGGGTGATACGGATCTTTTCGAGCGCATTCTTTCATTAACTCCTCATCGGTGCAATCTAAAAGATACTTCCTAGGCCTGTGCCTTGGAGGATCTCGCAACCAAGCATGCTTCTGCTCTATAACTGGGATTTCCCATTGGGTAGGAAAATGGTCAACTAGACTGGTACATATGTGTTACATAAGAAAGTTTCAAACTCACAGATATCATTCCAAGAATTATAGCAACTTCCCCATGTTGGCATCTGACCAGTTGCAGCAGAATACAGATAAAGGAAGCCCCACGCAATGATTACACAGTAGTAGATGCTAACAGTTAGTGAAATGAGTGTCATGGACCATCCCAACCCTACAAAATATGAGAATTCGTTTGAAAAAGAGCTGTAGCTGAAGGAGGAAGGGTTCAGGTGTAGGCGTCTGATAGACTCTGAGGTGAGCCAGCTTCACCACTTCGTAGTTATTTATGCTTTGCACCTCGTATCCAACTTTTTTTACTAAGGCTCCACCCTAACTGAAATCGAAATACGACTGTTGCAATCAGTGAAACGGTAGATCTCCCTTGGAACGCGGCCAAACGATGTATTTGTTCTAAAAGGTTCTTGTCGGTTACAAGACAGTATATAAATAATTACAGCCCAATGTTTCAAAGCCTATATAGAGTGGCTGGCTAATCTCTTTATAGTGCTGATAAGCTAGAAGAGTGCGTGTGCAAGTGGGACCTCTCTTGTGTAAAGGATAAAGAGCACCGTGTCACAGAAGAAGCGCAAGCGGGACGGGTTTGGGTCCCGCCCGAGGCCGAAGTTTTGTTCATAACTCGCCATCCTGGAGAGGTATACACTTCTCCGTTTCCGGCGGTAACCCTCGGTACCTCGCATAGTCATACGTCTTCACGCTCACTTCTCTCACTTCATGTCTGTCAAACCCTTCGTCCTGAGAAGTCCAAATATCCCAGCTATGAGCTCCACACTGCGCTACCGTGGACCAATGGGTAGCAGATTATGAGCTCGGGAAAGAAACGGTATAGTAGCAGAGTATGGCTCAATAAAAACAGGGACCAAGTCTTGGCAAAGCATCGAAGTAATCGAACCTTGAAGGGCTGGCAAATAATGTCTGAATAACATCGACGGTCCACAATTCATATACTGTCCAACCAACATTTCAAGATAAAGTGATGGAAGTCCGAAGAATACTGCACAGATAAAATAAGGGAACAAAAATGCACCTAAAAATGTAGTCTGTTTGTCATAATTTCCAGTTTTTCCTCTATGAGACTTACTTCCACCATTGTTATACGCCAAAGCTGGAAACCGCCACACATTACCAAGTCCTACTGTCAGCCCTATTGTTGCCAGAAGAAACTCCATTTGACTTCCCCAATTCCCCCTCCCCTTATTTCCCACCAAAGATTGCGACGCTGATTCTGAAACAAAAAAGTACAGATATACTTAGGCCATCTACTAATTGACTCCAACATCGTAATTTCCAAGACGAACCATTTTCGGATAGTTTTGCGGAAGATTCAATCGAAGACGAACTGCAACAAAAAAAAACTTTGAAATACTAGAACAGTTGACAAATCCAGAGCCCGGGAAGCAGGAGGGTAGAAAAGAGGCCCAGTTGTTGAGAGGCATAGGACAGATTTCACCCTTTCAGGTGATCAAGAGGACGGCAGATCAATCCCTGCATACATCAATATCAATCACTATCAATTGATTGGGCTTCGGTAGCGATGTATGATGTAGCTGTGGGATGGTCTATGGTGTGCTATCAGTAACAGCACTATATTTTGAGTTTACTCCTTACTGTTACTACCTCACTTTGCGGTCGGTTTTCCATATCACTACCTTTATCATGGTCATGAGAGGTTTCGTGGAAAGACAGATCCACAGATATACTAGTAAGTTAACAGACCGACCAACAAACCAACACACCGTTTACTGTTTGAGACATGGGAAGGGTGACGCCTACCAGTATCAATATCCGCTATTTCATTTGCTTGACGATTCATTCATCTACCGGTGGCTCAGCAGTCGCTAGTGCAGAAGTGTGTCGAAGGCTTCTAGGCTCTTTCCAGAAGATATGGCACTGGCGGAAGGGAGACATGGAGAATGAAGGTCTACAACCTCTGCAGCTTCACCAGTGCTCATAGAAGCATAGCGAATGGTGGAGGGCTTCCTACTCGGAGGGTCGAATTTGGGATTTGAGTGTCGTGTAATCAGTTTAAGCCCCAGGAGCTTAAATTTATTAGCTTGTGCTACAAGTTACCAGTAACATGATCCTACAGCGCCTTCTTCCGTGAAGATATGACATCCAACTTACACAGGCATTGTTCGTCTTCGGTAGTGCACGTGGTCTTGTCAAATAGAGAGTTTGCCTTTCAGACTACCTGAAATGGTCATTGCTTCAGCAAACAACTATGAAGGAATGATCAAGTCAAACCCACTTCTTCCGTTGTCCATACACTCGTCTGACCACTAGGTCCGCTGCACGCACACTGAACCATATTCGAGGAAAGCAGTGTTTACAATTTAGACTTTGAAGTTCACTTATCACTCGCTATATTCGAAAATACAAAACAGCTGATACCGTACCGTACCACCTAGAAGCCATCAGATCAGTGCAGTGGGAGAAACCCGGATCCACTCAGCGGAATCACTCCTATTCCCTGAATACATATTTCTGATCACGAAGTGGTGATGAGTCCCATGGCTATCGGAAATGAAGCTTATCCTTAGATTGATCACTACCCAAACCAAGGCAGTCGGTTTAGAATTTCTAGAGGTAAAATAACCTCTTTTTGATAAGCGCTATCGAACAAACCTCTCAAAGCTGCTCTCAAAACATCATCTTCACATGAATAAATCTCACCACATTTCTCCTCCATTCACTTCCATTTAGATGAAAAATTTTCCTTGTTGTGAAATTCCATGGTTCTTCCAACCGGACAGCCTCAGTCATTGCAGCATCGTGCTGACAGTGGCAGCGATTCAGCTACGTAGAAGGATCCATAGATCACTCGGAGAGAATGGGAGTTGCGTTTCCCACAGCGAACACCATGAATGGACTGGTCAGGAATCCATCAGTCTCACGGCGACACTCCTTGGTAACTCTATAACTGTTTCTACGTATTTGGTTGTAATACTCGAATTGAACTGAAGCAGGGTCTGAGAAGAGCATCCATCGATTATCATTTTCCATTAGTTCCTAAACACAAAGCTGTCCTGTACGGGCACAAATGTGACTGTCGTTTGTGTTTATGTTTACGTTTATGTACTATAGCATTGTAGGCCTATGTCCAAGGATCGGGAAATGTCCGACTGCAAACGAGTTTGCATCCCTTTTGTAAATATTCTAAACGCCATCCTTTCTCTGACTCACACCATAATAACCCCTAATAAGGCAAAAACGATAGTCCACGGGATTGTACCTTTCCAAAAAATGTTTGTTCCGCTGCTTTGAAATAGATGATTCAGCTGTGCTAAGTAAACGGATCAGCGGCTAGGCCGAACAGTGCCTTTGAGTTTGATGAGCGTTTTTGGCAATTCTCAAACAAAGCCTATAGAAGAGGCCAGCAATAAGATCAGCAACAAAGTTACGCACTCACCAAGCCCTATGAGAACGTAGGAAAACCAATATTTGTTATTTGTGTGTCCTCACAATGTTTGTTACAGTAACCTGCCTTTCGTTGCAGAACCTTTGCAGGCGTTCTTCCAACAATAAGAACTGTTACAAAACTTCAGCCTTCCACATATAAATGAAAACCCCGTTCCCATATTTGCAACTATCTTTCGTGTCGCAAACGGATCCAGCTCGACGCAACTCTGAAAGCACAGTTGACGATAAAAACGATTTCCGGAACGCCCAATTAGATAAACTCCATGGAGGGCTCAGAGGCCCCTTTCACCGACGTCCACAGCCAAAGGCGGAAGAGTTTAGACAAAGTTGAAGTTCCATTTAAGTGGACGTGGCCCATGGCAGCAGTAGAAGATAATTTTTGCTTTTGTTGACCATTTCCTTGGCTNGTCATACGTCTTCACGCTCACTTCTCTCACTTCATGTGTGTCAAACCCTTCGTCCTGAGAAATCCGAATATCCCAGCTATGAGCTCCATACTGCGCTAGCGGGGATCAATGGGAACAGATTATGAGCTCGGGAAAGGAACGGTATAGTAGCAGAATATGACTTAATAAAAACAGGGAGCAAGTCCTAACAAAGCATCGAAGCAATCGAACCTTGAAGGGCTGGCAAATAATGTCTGAATAACATCGACGGTCCACAATTCATATACTGTCCAACCAACATTTCAAGATAGAGTGACGGAAGCCCGAAGAATACTGCACAGATAAAATATGGGAATAAAAATGCACCTTAAAATGTAATTTGATTGTCATAATTTTCAGTTTTTCCTCTATGAGACTTACTTCCACCATTGTTATACGCCAAAG